CGTTCGATTTAAATTTTTTTTTTTTTTTTTTTTTTTTTTTTCTGATTTAAAAGAAATATTTTTTTTCTGAATTAAAATAAGTTAGAAAATTATAATAATTTTATGTTTACAGGATGTCTAATTGGGCGAAAAAATTCGGACTGGGAAAAGGGAAAGGACTCCTGATTCGTCCTCCTGCAGATCCGGTGGAGGAGAATACTGCGGAACGGGAGGGAAGGACACATAATAGAAATGTTACCGGTTCTAAACGTCGTGGGGAACGCACTGGTGCTTTTGTACCCCCACGTACGATGATTCAGGAGGAGACAGAGACAGAGGCCGATCAGGAGATGGATGCACCCATGGATGCATATATGCAGCCGCAGGAGTACGAGTACGATCCACAACTACGCTTTCAGCAGAAGTATCAGTTTCCGGTGCCGGATTTTCCATCCGATGACGATTACGAGGATGTTCGGACTCCGACTCCGCATGTGTAATGGTCTTCATTTTCATGGCGCAAAAATGCGACTGCTACAGTAAAATTTTTCCCGACAGGAGTAACACCAACAATCTCCAACAAAGGCAATTTGTACTGATTGGTTTTGTAAGTACTGTCAAGTAGTAATACGTACGGAAACTTACTTAACAATTCGACAGATTGAGGGTGAGCCCACATCAAATCAGTAACTGCATGTGTTGTTTCATCAGTACGGAACCACTTGTAATAGTTATGCTCCTCAAGCAACCCAATCAAATGTTGCATCACTGTACGGTCACCCCTAGATAGTCTTTTCAATTTCGCCTTCTCATTGTATATTTGTTTCGAATAAGCATCGAGACCCAAACCATTTTGTCTCAAGTTAGCCAAAATCTTCTTGGGCGGCACATGACTTTGTGACAGATCACTAATGATCTTCGCCTCCTCCTGAGACAATGCACTCATCCCATGCCCGGACTTGTATATCGGAACATGATTATGCTTCCCGTATATTACTCTGACCCCCCATCTATCATCCCATCGTAGTTCTCCGACAATATGAAAACCACAACCTATTTTTTTGCTACCGGTCCTTCTCGGACGCGCGTCTGGATTAGTTGATGGACATTCTCGTTTTTCCCCGAATAGGTCACAAGTCAAAAAAATCTTTTTTTTAGGACTGCTGCTTTTTACTATTTTCACAAAAAGACCTCTTGCAACGAACCTCACCCAAACCACTACCTCATCCTTCGAGTCAAACAACTGAGTAGTGGTAAAATAATCGGTATGATCAACTTCAAATGTAGTGGTATCGTCCTGAAAAAAACATAAAAAATTGATTTAAAAAAAAAAAAAAAAAAAAGGTTTAAAATTCAAAAGCCCAAGTCGGGCGCCCGGCAGTGCAGTGCACGCCCATGTGGGGCGTTCAGGTGCACTGTCGGGCGCCAAGTTGGGCTTTTGAATGTTTAGCCCAGTTTTTTCGATCGAAAAGACGGAATTTTTACCTCGCTGTGTTCGCTATCCCGATCTTCATTCGATAAATTCATTTATGTTCGTATATCACACCAATAAGAATGATTTGTGAAGAAATTGTCTTGAGAGCAATTTTTTTTAGAGAGAGAGAGAGAGAGTTTTTTTGAACGGTAAATAGCCTTTTTCAAACGGTAAAAAGCAAATCCCGATTATTAATTAGGAACTAATGGGCCCTTGAGAAACTTGATCTATTACTACTAATGGACCTATATTGGGCTTTAGATAATAATTAATTATGTTACACAGCCCAATAAAAAAAAAAAAAATCCCAATGGTAAATTTCTTTTTTACCCCTTATCATCTTCTTCTTCAACTTCAGTGAAACTTTCCCCAATTTCCGACCAAAACAAAAAACAAAAATGGCAGCTCTAAACCCCTGTGTTCTCCCCAAACCCCTAACAGTCAGCACCAAAACCCTAGTTCTATCACCTCCTTCCGCCGCGATCCTATCGTTCCCGCCGTGCACTCGTCCGCACCCAATTAAATCGAGAACCGCCGCTTTTACGGCTGTGAGAGCCTTGACCGATGGGCAGTACTCGTCGAAGAGAAGCGGCGGCGGCGGCGGCGGAGAGGATAGGGAGACGATAATGCTACCCGGCTGTGACTACAACCACTGGCTAATTGTTATGGAGTTTCCTAAAGACCCTGCCCCAAGTAGAGAGCAGATGATTGACACTTATATCGACACCCTTGCCACTGTTCTTGGCAGGTTTTCAAATTTCCCCCTTTTTTGTTTTCAATTGCATTTTCTAATTATTAATTTCTCTTTATGGTTGCAAATTGCAAATATAAAAATTGATATTTTTGAATTCTGATTTGCCCTAAGCAAAGGGATTTTTGGTCTTTAGTCTTTACTGCTTGCTGTGTGTGTTTGTGTGCGTGTGTGTGTGTGTGTGTGTGTGTGTGTGTGTTTTCTAACAGTTTAGCAATTAACATATCTTACATTTGATCTCGAATTCGATGTTACAGCATTGACGAAGCGAAGAAGAACATGTATGCATTTAGTACCACCACATACACGGGGTTCCAATGCACTGTATCCGAAGAAACATCGGAGAAATTCAAGGGTATATTCTTTACGCCTGTTGAAATATTTTGTATACTTGATTTTTAGTAACATCCCTGATTTTTTGTGTTGTGATTTCGTAGGCTTACCTGGCGTTTTGTGGGTCTTGCCCGATTCGTACATAGACGTTAAGAACAAGGATTATGGAGGTTTGTTTATCCACGAGCCATTTTTATTTATCGACAATCGATTTTTCGGTATTCGATTTTGTACAATCATTTCTTGCTCATTTTCTTTATTTTTGATTTTTGTAGGAGATAAATACATTAACGGAGAGATAATCCCGTGCCAGTACCCTACTTATCAGCCAAATCAATCAAGAAACACGAAATACAAGAGCAAAGCTTACGTAAGACAAAGAGATGGAGCCCCTGCTTCTGCTTCTGCTTCTGCTCCTGATCGAAGAAAACCGAGACAAGAATCTGCCTCTCAGTGAACATTTGACAGGTTAAACATCTTTTTCCATTACAAAATATTTCACAATACGAGCATAAAGATGCTGTCTTTGCTCATTTTTTCCCCCAATTTTCTATTGGTAAATAAAACAATCAAATCAACCTTTTTTTTTAAATTCTGCAGTGCAGATCATATATCGGTTTCAAGTTGAATTACTAAGAGGGAAATGGTTGGAAATTTTGTAATGGGAGATTGATTAAAGGTTAGTCGAATTTTTATGTAGATCATGTAATCTTGAAATGGTTGTGAAATCATGGTTCAATAATTACACATCTTTATTCTTTACTTATTTCTTACATCATTAGTGCTATATTTAGTTATATTATTGCATACAAACAACCGCTTTATACATTTTCAAACATAGTTGCTATTTATATTTGATCTCAAACCAATCAATCTCTCGACTGTTGAATAATTAAATTACGCAATAAGTTCACCAGAACATAAGGAAAATCCAATAAAACTAGCTCTTTATTTGTTCGATGGATTTTGGCTTTAGCAACATAAAATCGACATATTCCTCGAGTACCGGAAGTCTCTGATTGTCGTCGTAACTATACATGAGGGACACCATTCTTGCAAGATTAAGACAAGCTTCTCGATAAAATGACAATGTTGGGGAGTAGTGATTTACATCGAAACATTCCTTGTTAAGAAGCCTCCACTCACTTGCTATCATGTTTATTACATGCTCGAGCGCTTGCTTGAACGATAAACCATGGTTATCTCTCATGTAGTACTCTACGTATGAGCCATCCTTCCCGTTTTGTTGCTCATCCTGTCAATTAATTATAATCATGCGTTATTATTAGCTATTAATTAATTAGTTCATCATTTCAAATCTTGTCATCGAATATTCATGATATATATATATATATATATATATTACTTATATATGTTCATACCTTGGCACTCCCCAAATCGTCCGAAAGACGAAGAATTGCAGCTACACTTGATATGAGTGTCGAGTTTTCTTCTAGAAGGATTGCACCTTGATTTTGGGTCCCACCAAGACCCAAAATATAGAATAAGTGAACCAACGCTACATGCACCCCCGAGCTTACTTTGCCGTTGGCTAAATACTCTTCTGCCCTCGGCAAATCCCCACCGGCAAACCACTTTGCTTCTACTGAAAAAGCCTTGCACAAACTTGCCCACTGCCATAGTATGGTGAATTAATTTTTCCGATATAAATAAATAACTAATAATCACGAAAATATTCGGAAACTACCGTTTCTTTTAGGGTATTAATAGGGTTGTGTCCATGCTTTTCAAAGATCATACGGGCTATCTCGTTTGTGGTATCGAGAAGGGCCTTGTAGCTCATCTTCATGTACTCAGGCAGCATATCTATTGCAGCATAGTCCCATCTATATATTTACATATACATACATCATATTTATTACAGTGATTAATATATTTATTATATCATATATGTATATATATAGTTACTGCATACTTGTCTACAGCTTCTGTGAAGATAGCCAGCTCATCTGGTGTGCCGTAAAGATCGAAAATGTCGTCTATCAAGTAAATAAAAGCTATGGACTTTGTAAGCTCGATTCTCTGCTTCGACAATCGGATATCATTTATCAGTCCAGTCATCGACCATGTGTACCATTTTATTGGCTGATTTCTTGCTAACTTTAGCTCCGTTGTTAATCCTAGACCATCCCACCACCTAAAAAACGACAAATATTTTTTTTTTGGAAAAATATAGGTACATGTAAGAAAACGAACTATATATAGGTGCATTATTTTTTTATTTTTTTTCCTTCTTACTTGTGAACTTGGAGAAGTTCCTCTTGGTATATAGGTTTTGCCAAGAGCAGTTCAACTTCAGCTAGCTCCATTAATGGTTTCTCCCATCTATTTACGCCGCTGCCACGTAGATCTGATCTTACTAGGAAGTTGTTCGTTTCTGTGAATCTTGTTATGCTCTTGTGACAAGGGTGCTTTAGTCTCGTGTTAATATGTCGAGACCATTTGCTGTACTCTGTTTCTTGCGTGCATTTGTGGAGAAGCTTGCTGCTGAAATCTTCTGCTTCGACGAGTATGTTTTCTCCTTCGAAACCCAACTGTGTAGCTTCGTACAGTTCCAACAATCCCGTGATATCTTGTCTTACTTCTCCTCTGAACTTCCCCTTGAAATTATTAAACACTTCTGCAGATGAAATGTAATATTAGATCGTTTCTTGCACTAAAAACCGGGGGGAACGAAGAATACCTGCAGAAACGTGGCATCCTTGTTGTCTTAATAAACGGAAAGAAAGCGCAGCATCGTGAATAGTACTACTACTGCTATCTCTGGGGTTTTTCGTGTAGTAGTGTGTGAGAATCGTGTGAATCTCCTCTCGATAATGGTGGCCAATTCCTGACCGTTGGATCGCATCAACCAAGATCAAACTTTCCATCGGATCTTCTTGAGTAAGTGTCGGCTTCATGAGTAAGTGTCGTAGTTCCTCTAGTTTGTTTTCGTAGTTGATGGGAAACTTATGATCAACCTGCACAAAAGGTAGAAAAAAAGAAACGAAAAAAAAGATTAGTCATATGAACTTCAAAATGAGTGGAATAATAAACAACTTAACCCGAAAAAGGTGTTTATTTTGATATTCCGAGGGTTCCGGATTTATGCTCCAATTTTGACGAGCGGTAGCTCCACGGGCAATCCAACAGGGTTTCTTCTTTACCGAATATGCAAATTTATTAAGAAATTTCGAAGTACTACGAGAAAGATTGCAGATTAGAGCCATTTTTTTAGAGGTTCCAGTTGTTTTCAAGAAATGTAGAGATTGTATTGGAAAATAATGATCCAACGAATGCACTTATCTATAGTACTATCACTATTGCAAAAGTTGTGCAAAGGTGATTCATGTCTGCAAAATCTTATTCACCACGTATGATGCAAATAAACTTAAATAGAAAAAGTCGATCTGGCAGTGCTTTTAAAAATAGCTTAAAACAACTTATTTTAAGAGAAATAGAAATAAAACTTGATTTTCCAATCACCAAAAAATAGATTATATATATATATATATATATATATATATATATATATATATATATAACTCGAAATATTTTTTTAAAAGCTTTTCCAAACGCCATAAAATTATGTTTCTAACTTTTCACAAATTGAAAAATGACCTATAGATATTTTACATGTATCATCGAGCGGCTGGTACAAAACGTGTCGAAAATGCGAAAATATTTAGAAGTTGAAGTTTCAGTGCTATATATGTTACTATTCATTTTTCTTCTCTTACATCAAGAACCCCACTTAACCATTAGATTTCTTTTACCGATCAATAGTAAGGGCAACTACAACCCAAAAGCAATGTTTTTAAAATCGGACCAGACATTAACCCGGCTAGACAACTGGGTCACGGTTGGACGGTTCAACCGGGTTTTTGAATATTTTTATTTTTATATTATTTATATTTAATTTAATATAACAATATTGTAAAAATAAATTAAAAAAGGCATACTAATTATTAAAAATCAACCTAAACATTCAATTGAACTAATTATCCAGCAATAAATTTTAAATACTAAAGATCAAAAGTAGAAATGTACATGAGCAACACGTTCCATAATTTAAATTCAAAGAAAAACTAATTAAAAAATGAAAGAATGAGACTGTGAGAAAAAGTCAAAAAATGAATCAAACCAAAAAAGAAAAAAACGAGAGAAAATGAGTAATACAAAGAAAAAGAAAAATTCTATAGCTACACTCCAAGATTCAAAACATTGCTCTCTCCACCATCTTTAATTTTTTTTTCTTTCTATTTTTATACTTTAATTCTCCACCATAATTTGTTGTCAATCTTTTACGCACTTCAAAAAATTCTAGAGAAGCAAAATAATTTTTGCGTATTTCTCATTTTTCTGCAAAATCCGGTTTTTGGACCGGTTTTTGGCGGTTCAACCACAGTTTTTTCGATTAGTAAGCAAGTGACCCGAGTTTTTGGTCTTTTCGGTGTTTGGGGTTGGATTGGACTAGACACGGCCACGGGCCGTTTTTGGGCCCGGAACCGGCCCGAACCGGCCAGTTGACGGCCCAAACCGGCCCGTTGACCGAGTGAACCGGCCCGGACCTGTGAACCAGCCCGTCCTACCCGGGATGGACCCGGTTCTGAGAAATGGTGAACCGTGAACCGCCGGGCCGGCTCGGCGGTTCACCCGGATTTAAAAAAAAAAAAATTCAAAAAAAAGCAAATAACGGCTAGTGAACCGGCCCGAACCGGCCCGGGTGAACCGGCCGTTATTTTTTTTTTTTTGAATTCCCCCCCCCCCCCCCCCGGGTGAACCGCCGAGCCGGCCCGGCGGTTCACGGTTCACCATTTCTCAGAACCGGGTCCATCCCGGGTAGGACGGGCTGTTTCACAGGTCCGGGCCGATTCACTCGGTCAACGGGTCGGTTTGGGCCCTCAACTGGCCGGTTCGGGCCGGCTCCAGGAACAAAAAGGGCCCGTGGTTTTTTCTCGTCCCCTCCAACCCAAAACACCGAAAAGACCGAAAACTCG